TGTCCTTAAGAAAAACTGGAGCAAACAATTCCACAGCCTTGATAAGGCAGAGTAATGTTATCAGAACTGTCTGGGGAAGGGACAGAGGTCATCAGGCCCATAACATTCTAAACACGCTCTTCACTATTTAATTCCCTTGTTGGTAGTACCTAATTGTACCTTAAATGTCTTGAATGACTTTCTGTTGTGCACATTTATGACTGTGTGTGTCTGTGTGGAGAAGGTGGTTTTTGACATCTGTTCTGAATATGTTTATCTGTAATTGTAATTCATGCTCACTTGTCATCTGTATTGGCTCAAAATTAGTTTAGATTATCAGAAGTATTTAAGATTTGGTGTGCTCCTTTCAAATCCTCTCCAGTTGCCTGCTTGCTCAGATGAAATGAATTCTATTTGAAGCCATTTCTTACATTTAGAGAGGAGCTGACTGTCTCAGACAAGGCCTTGCTAAATATTTGGAAGTGTCAGTAACTCAGCTATTTTCTCCTGGGCAATGGGAATGTGTGCCCTCTGCCAGCTGCCACCCAGGTTGAGATTCAGATCCCACTGCAGGATCAAGGGGTGTTTTTCCCATCTGGATAGGTTTTTTAAAGTAGTCCATTCCACATAAAGAATTAATAAAATCAATGTTTGCATTCTTTTCCGTTCTGCTTGCTTGGGGATAAGTACTGCTCCCATGAGTAGACTGGCCAGGAGCAGACTGATGTTTAAATCAGTGCTTAGGTCCCTCTCTTTTCACTCAGGAATATAAGCATGGCAGTTGTACTCAGTGGCCCTGTGTGCATTCCTGGTTGTTCTGCTGAGTAAGAAAGAATTAAAATATTCAGCTAAATTAGGCACTGAATTGGAATTGTTAAAGGTGAGAAGAACAACCTAAAAAATGTCTTCACATTACAATCCAACTACAAGGTGGCCTTTATTTGCCAGAAGAGCAGGAACAGCACTCAGGTCCAATAGGAACTAATATAAAATTGACAGCATTTTATTCTTTTCTTGCCTTCAAAACACCAGGTGGGGAGAGAGGAGACCAGGCTCTAAGAAACGCAAAAACTGCACTTTGTTGGTGTGCAGCTCTTGGCTCTTTTGGAGACCTAAATGTGCATCTTCACTGCAAAAGAAAAGTATTTGGGAAACCTCTGATCCAAGTGATGATATTCCCACTCTGGCAGAGGCACAGTGAACCCTCACTCTTCTGTACCATCGAGTACATGTTTTTTTTCCTGCTGGTTAACCATAAATTGCATTTGTTCTGTAAAAACTTGGTAACATACAAAGCTGTAGTGCATGCTGTTAACAGCAGTGGCTTCCACTTTCTTCTTGCAGAGGTGTTGAACAAGTTTTCTGGAATGTGAGGGGAAACTGAAAAGTTTTAAAAGTTAGGAAACAGCATTTCATGGGCCTTTTGTAGTGATAAATGCCAAGGCAATCTAGAGATGTAGGAGGTGGTGTTTCATTCCTAATGAGAACAATGAAAAGTTCTTTAGAGCCTTTAATTATGCAAGTTACAGAACTGGAGTATCACTTACTTTCTTCTGTGCTCTTTTAACAGCCTTGAAGCTTGAGAAATAGGAGTGATACCGAATGGAAACAGTTCCTATTTGAGTTGATAATAGGGGAACAAAAGCGGTGCAGTTTTTCCTGGAGAGCTTTTAAAAGCAGTTGATGGTTCTAAGTGATACAAAATGGATAGTTAGGGTAGGCATCAGATCTACTGATGAATTTCAGGTGTGGCAGTGAAGGTTTCATAGGGCTGTGATTTGATACTGAAAACTAACCAGTGGCTTGTGACTGGGAGAAAGTGTTAGAGAGAAGAGCAACTGATCTGGGACCCGGGACTTATTCACTCTGAGAAATGTCCCTTTGGCTCACTGTAAGTCATAAATTTGCCATAAAGTGATCACAAGGTAAAATGTTGACTCCTTGGGATAGAAAGAGCATAGAAACAGTCTTTTGGCGCAAAAGGCTATATGAAGACTGTTGTAGCTAAAACAGGCTGAGAAAGAGGAAATATTTTTTTGCAGGTTTGCATGAGAGGGAAATTGTAATAAATTAAAAACCTTCTAGCTCAAGACAGTAGTAACAACCCACACTAAAAAATGTGTGGTGTTTTAATAGTGTCTGCCTTAATGCACTGATATATTACATTGGTTCCAAGTAGTAGTATCTATCAGTGATAATCCAGTATAAGCCTACTACTGTATATGAGTTCAAAGGAGAGTTATGATAGAGCAGCAGAATATAGACTAGATATGCAGCTGTTGGAGCAAGTCCAGAGGAGGTCCACGAGGATGATCAGGGGGGTGGAGCACCTCCTGTATGAGGACAGGCTGAGAAAGTTTGGGCTGTTCAGCCTGGAGAAGAGAAGGCTGCATGGAGACCTCAAAGTAGACTTCCAGTATCTGAAGAGAGCCTGCAAGGTTGCTGGAGAGGGACTCTTTGTCAGGAACTGTAGCAATAGGACAAGGGTTGATGGGTTTAAACTTTAACAGGGGAAGTTCAGGTCACATATATGGAACAAATTCTTTACTGTGAGGGTGGTGAGGCACTGGGATAGGTTGCCCAGAGACGTGGTGAATGCTCCATCCCTCGCAGTGTTCAAGGCCAGGATGGACAGAGCCCTGGGTGACATGGTCTAGGGTGAGGTGTCCCTGCTGTTGTCAGGGGGGTTGGAACTGGATGATCTTAAGGTCCTTTCCAGCCCTAACTATTCTATGATTCTATGTCTTAGTCTTAGGGAAAACTGTGATAAAGAAAATGTTATAGAAGTTGTTTCTTGGATATTATCTAGAATACCAACAGAATAGTAATGCTGCTTGGAGAGTATAAATTAGATGCTAATTGGGTAAATCTGGGGAGATGGGTTCCAGTGTTCAGTTTTGATTATAAAGGCAGAAATGAGAAGTCAAATACTGTGATTGCATAAATGGCTAAAAGCAGTCTATTTGTGCCTGTTTTTACGAGTATGAGTTGTACCCAGGCTTGACAAGGCTTTATCTGGAATGCTTGAGGGTTTTTTTTACCAGGCTGTGAAATGAGTGAAGACTAGAAGGGATGTCTGCAGTTTTCATGGATGGAGTTCTTTAGCAAGTTGTATTACAATGAAAGAATGAGCTAACTGAGCACGAGTAGGATATAAAATGAATCTGAAGCTTAAGCACAGAGTTGGATGTTGGCACTGAGAAAGTCTCCTCTTTGCTAGCAAGTGTGGCATTCTTTCAAAAATGACCCCAGAACTCAACAAAGTTGAGTTTGTAACCCCCAACTTGCAAAGCTGGAGTGCAGTAAAAGGATGAAACCTCAGTTTCCAAGTAGTAGACGACTGAAGTTCATATTTAAAAACAAAGAACTCCTCAGTCAACAACAGCTTCAGGATAGCCCTATGAAAATTTGCTTACTGAAGGTGAAAATTGTATTTAGTGTAAGCTGAAGTTTTCTGAAGTTCTTTGAAGAATATCCAAGCAAGGGATATGAGCAAAGATCTGAATCTGGCATTTATATCTTAAAAGTCCAGGTTGTCTTTTTCTCAGCTGCCTTTAGGGGATGATAGGAAAGTTTAGGATCAATGAACTAGAACTTCTGGATGTTCTCCTTTATGATCAGGCAAAACTGGTAGAAACTGTTCTTGTATTGATAAAAGCACAAGTTGGCATACAACTAGCTGGTGGTATGTCCTGGGTTCTGGTTTCCCACCTTCCAGCTGACAAAAGCAGAACAAAGAAGAAAAGACTGTTTATGTATCACAGGCAAATAGAAGTTGAGTCACGGATATTAATAGAGAAAAATCCATCAAAAATGCACCCGTGGGGAGAAAGAAATTCCCATGGTCCAGGTAAGGTGTTTAGTTATATCTTACAGCACTTCCAGTGGAGTGCCCTTAAAGAGATAAAGTGGCAATTACTTTCACTTTAGACTTCAGCAGAGAGAGGTTCTGGCACATCTTTGAGAGATCCTGAGAATCAGGAAGAAAGAAATTGAGACAGTTGTGCCTTTATAGAAGGAATTGGGAAAGTTCATGTTTTTAGAAATTAATTTGTATGGAATGAAAGAAGCTGTTCACAAAGAAACTACTGAGAATGTGTTTCAAGGAAAAGGGAGAGACTGATAAAACTTCTCTCCCACACACTATGATTCAGGTATTAATGAGGAACCCTAGAAACAATCCAGCTAGTTTTTGATGACAAGGAGGTGTTTTGACAACCAATAGAGGTTTGTGTTCTAATACAGCATTTTCTTTCTATTCTAAAAGTGTGTGTGATTACACATAATAAGGAATTGTGAAGGACTTTTTATATTAATCTTTACCATCCTTTTCGTGTAAGTTTGTATTGCACTTCTCAGAGATAAGGTGATGTTTTGTCCTACGTGGAGTTCAACAGACGGCTAATGTATTGTCATAGGTTCAGTAGAAGTTGAATGTATTATCAAGACTTTCTGCTTAGAAGTTGTCTTTTCTCCTAAAACTACTATACAAATGCATTTTTTAACAAAATGGTTTTATTGATAGTGAACAGATGGAGGAATCCAAAAAGCCTGTGTGCATCATATAGGTTTATAGAGAGAATTTCTTGTAACAGTCTTCCAATACCGAAAGGAGCTGACAAGAAACCTGGGGAGGAACATTTGACAAGGGCCTGTAGGGACAGGACAAAGGGGGAATGGTTTTAACCTGACAGAGGTGAGATTGAGATGAGATCTTAGGCAGAAGCTCTTCTCTGTGAGGGTGGTGAGGCGCTGGCACAGGTTGTGTGTGTGCCCACACAGGTTGTGACTGCCCCATCCCTGGCAGTGTTAAAGGCCAGCTTGGACAAGGCTTGGAGCAGTGTGGTCTAGTGGAAGGTATCCTTGCCTATGGCAGGGGGTTGGAACTGGATGAACTTTAAGGTCCCTTCCAACCCAAACCATTCTGTGATTCTATACCAAAGATTTTCAGTGATAACAGTCAATATAAATAACCAATATGAATAGCTGAAATAAACATGTTTTAATACCTTGTATTTCAGGCCATAACTTCTGTGCTGAAGGACACAGATGTGGTGAAAATTCTGAGTGCAAAAACTGGAACACAAAAGCGACTTGTGAATGCAAGAGTGGTTTTCTCTCTGTCCAAGGGGATTCTGCCTACTGTGAAGGTAAACAAGAATTCCAGTACCTGCCCCCTTAAAGTCCTATTTGGAAACATGGTGCTAAATAAATGATTGAGGAATGGATTTCATGGCAAGATTTCATTTCAATAGGTTTCATTTCATGATGGTGAATGTCACAAAGGGGTTTTTTTGCCTTCATAAATGTGGACTGCAGATGATTAGTGATGCTGGACCATTCAGATTGCCTGTCTATGGGTGTGCTTAATTGCTGCAGCTGTGCCTGGGCACACTGTGACCCTGCAGGCATTAGCAACGGTAAAATACTGTTTCTTTTTCAGAGATAGCATCTACCTTCTAAAATGTTTTTTAGAGAACAACATCTTTGTAATTTAAAAAGGAAGTGGGAATTTAGGAAGTTTAGGAATTCTGCTAGTGTATGTGAGCAAGGTCAGTGTGTGGGTGTACTGAGTCTTGCACAAGGAAATTATGATATGCAGTCCTTCCCGAAGCACTTCTGTGGGACAAGGTCTTTACTGAAATGGTTTTCATATGATCCAGAAGAGACCTGTTTCTGAGGAGTGTGTACCTGAGGTGCTTCTGTTGATGTATTATTCCATCACAGGAATGGGTGCAAGGGGACATTATTCTCCTTTTTTGTTTCTCAGTGTTTTCTAGAGCTTGCTGTTATTCATAGCTATGATGTACTTATTAAAAACTAAATGGATGAATCAACATATACCACATCCCTTCCTGCCTTTTCATTGTGGTTTGGGGTTTTTTTGTATGTCAGGCTGCAATATTTAATCTTTCGGCCATCATTTCCCTGGATTCTGTTTCCAGTGGTGATGGAAGGGAGGTGGCACTTTTGACAAGCTGTGAAAAGAGACTGTAGAAATTGGAAGACAAGAATGAAAGGATATACAAGTGTAGACTGGGCTTAAACGATCCTGCTTTTGTAAAAAGACTTTTGAGTATGTAAGTGAACAGGATTGCTTGAAATAGCTGTTTTTAGAGCTGTTCAGTAAATTACAACTATAAATCTCAAGGTATTTAGTCAGTTCTTTACAAACAGAAATGTGAACAGTTCTGTGCGTGCACGTTCAGTGACTGGGAGAACAGTTTACCCATTTGTTTTTAAAGGTAGGCAGCAGATACACTGTAGACAGAGCAATTTTTTAGTACAAAACCCTTATGAGAAGAGCTGCCCTTACATGCACTGCAAGGGCTTCTCAGAAACCGGAAAACAGCAGCAAGGCGCTTTATCAACTGTGATACAGAATTCAGGATTTGTTCTTTTTTTTCTGTTTGAAAAAGAAAATTAGTGCTTAGTGCTGTTATTTAATAGTAGCAGACTATTTACAGTAGCAGTATTTACAGTATTTACACTATTTACGAGTTTACAAATATTTACAATATTTACACTATTTACAGTAGCAGTATTTACTAGTAGCAGACTATTTACTAGTAGCAGACTGTTCCCCTTTTTTAAAAAAAAATTAACATCTTGATTCAAACAGTTTTGGCGATGTTGGCAGTGCACTGGTGGTAGTGGTGGGGAAAACGAGTTATTTTAAGAAGTTAGTGGGAATTGCAACATAACTGGTCTGTATTGCGTGACATTCTGGAAGGGCAAATGGAATTCCTGGTGTCTGAGCATGTGGGTGAAACCTGAGGCAAGAGAACAAACACAGCTGCTTTTGCTGCCTCAGAGCATGGGATAGATGAGAGAGAGCGGCTTTATGCATATGATGAAATTACAGATTTGATGAATGGAGAGTAGTCTTCAGGAGGTAACATGGAGAAGAGAAGGCCCTTTAGCAAGGGGAACTACAGGCTGACAAATTGGTTAGCCAAGAGGTGGCTTTGCTCAGCCCTATGAAGAGCTTCCTTTCACTCCTCGGAACAGCTTTCTGCATAATTGCCTTCTATGCCTAACCTGATTTGTCTCGTCTATGTGTTTCATCTGCTAAATAGCAGCATTTCAGAGCTCGCTGTATAACATTCTCAAATCCATTGTGAAGCTGTAATTTATATCGGTGATGTCAAAGGCATGGATCTGAAGGTACAGTTTGGCAGGATGTTCGTACAGGATAGGGGTGGAATCTTTTTGGCGAGTGTTGGATTTCTGTGTAGTGCAAGAATAAAATACACAGAACACCTGAACAAGTAGGAGTAAACATTCACAACACCTGTGGAAGCAAGGAAGGTGTTATTCTCAGCTATAGTTCTGAATCTGTCTTCAGCATTCTGAAGCTTTTGAACTTAAGAGACATTAAGATTGACGTTTCCTTTGAGATGGCGAGATTCAACTATTTCATACTCATGATGTGCTGGTAAGTGGCACCTTACTTCAGAGTACTCCAGATAATTAACTTGGAGCTTTCCAGATTTCTCCTCTCTGCCGATGTACTTGAAGTACTTGTGCATATGAATTCTAATGTAGGGTATTATTTTACCATACCTGCTTTTTGTTGTTATTTCTGCTCTCTCTTACTCACCTAGTTTTATTCTGCTGGACCATATGGCATCATTTTGATCTGGTAAGGTCTCTGAAGAGTTGTTTTGAGTTTGCTTTGCTTTTTTGACTTGTATTTGTGGGTTTTTTTAACATTCCATCTTCACATTTGCAGTAAGGAGGAAAAATTAAAAGGATTCTTGATTTTGTCAGAGAATTGTTCATCAGCAGATTTAGAAAATAAATAACAAGAATCTGAGGGGCTTTTACTATTAATTCTCAGTAACTACTTTTCAAGTAGTCAGCAGCTCCTCATGTCAAAATACACATCTGGCATAACCACTCACTATATGCATTCCATCTTTGGAATAACATAGATGTGTTTAGGGAAGACAGTTTCTGAAAACAAACAAATAAATGAAGCTAGTAATGAATGAAGGGGGTAAGTGCAGATTCTCAGTATGCTGTAAAAAAGCCATGTGTTTCACTTAAAAGCAAAAAAGTTGAGCATTTTTTTTTTTATGTTTACCTACTTGTCATGTGTATATGAGACATAATTGGAACATTCATCATTTGCAGAGAGACATCTAGAGATATTTCTATCATGTTGTCTGAGCTTTAACTACTGGTAGGGATACTTATGTACAAGTATTGGACCCATGCCCATTTATCTCTGTCGCATATGCATGGGTAAGTTCTGGCAACTGCACAAGTGGGACCAAGTTCAGTGTCTGCAGGGTACAAGGATTCTAGCTGTAGCCGCACATGCACACTTGCTGGCATGTGAACACCTGTGTTGGGGGCTCAAAGTTGCAGCCTGAGAATTAGTTACATATGGAGCAGCAGTTCAGTGGCAAAACCAGGACCAAAATGGGAATTCACTGAGGCTGCCTCGTGGTGATCCTTCCAGGCACGTTCTGTGCTGTGTAGAGGAGCCTTGAAAATCCCACAGCTGTGAATTTTGTTTGGAAACTAGTGAATGAAATGAAGTTTTTATCCTTCAGTAAAAGAACCAACCAGCCAAAAAACCCCAACAACAAAGACCCAAACTTCCCACAGCCTAAATGGACAAATCTGGTTTCTCATACAAATAATAATAAAAATATTATTATTATTATTAATAGCAAATGTGCTTTGCCTTTAGTAATAGCATAGCTCTGGGTTGTTCCACTAAATATTATCTATTGCCTTTTTCATTCTGTGAGTGTACTTTCTTTCCTATAGATGGAAGACCAAAATTAGTTGTAAAAGTACAAAAGTCTCTAAATCCATGACAAGTGTCACTATATACTGACCCATTTTTGGTAAGTTAGTAAGTGACTTGCTGATGTGGTTCTGGGTATTCAAAGCTGATGTGCATATGCAAAACCGAGTACAAAAGTTCAGAAACAGTTGGAAAAGGCATTATTGCTGACCTAGGGCTTTGCTATACCCTTCACTCTCTGCTTTCTCTTTAATCATTTCAGCATGCACATTTTGCATCTATTTCCAGCATTTCTCCTCATGCCTTTTGTTCAGATTAATTTGGAATCGAGTTATGTGCTGATGGTACATGCTGTCTGTATTAAGTGGAAGCTATTCTGGATTTATTTAGAGTTACTGAGCTTTTGGCATTATCCAGATGTGGTAGGGTTACACTGATGGATAGAAATGTTAATGTATTTCTGCTCACAACTGGAGTGGAGAGATATATGATTTATATATTTGTATTAAATTTAATTTTCAAATAATAAGTAGGTTCCCCATTTTCTCAGTGTATGAGGAGCTATATTTGAAACTGAAAATAAGACTGTCCTAGTAAGAAAAGGAAGCCTTACCTGGTCTTCATGGATGTAGGATCTGTCTGTTTCCTGGTGTACATGTGTCTGTGCAGGTTTTTCTGTGCAGAAACTGGGACAAAATCCTTTGTTGTCTTGCTGGGGTATTGTGAAGTTTACTGGATGAAGACAGGCTGAGAGAGCTGGGCTTCTTCAGCCTGGAGAAGGGAAGGCTCTGGGGAGACCTTAGAGCAGCCTCCAGTGCCTAAAGGGGCTACAAGAAAGCTGGAGATGTGCTTTGGACAGGGTCCTGTGGGGCAGGACAATAATACCACAAAGTAGACTGAACTAAGTGCAGAAAAGTAAGCAAACTGCTGATACAGGAAGAGAGAAGTTTGGTTTTGTTTTTACTTCCTAAATGTTATTGACAACTGAGGAAAGGCATTCTATAAAATATTCATGTCCATATTTAATTTTCAGAAGGATAATTCCTCTGACTCTGTAAGATTTTTGACAGGGAAATTGATTTCATTCAGGGGGGCAGCTGCTCCTGGAAAATCTCTTAAAAAGTGCTTTTTTCTAAGACATCTGCCACTATTTAATAATCTCCTTCTCTGTACCTGAGTCTGTTTGAAGGCTGTGGAAAAGAGTTAAAAGTAAGTTAGAGAGAGACTTTGATTCAAGTAATGGAAATTAACACAAAAGTCTGTACCGCATCCACAAAGACAACTCGTATATTGATGGTAGTTTTCTGTTTGGTTTGCTGACTCTTACACTATATTTAATATGCAAATTTTTTTCCCCAAAAGAAAGCTTACCATTTTTCCAGTTAA